AGATCCTTGTGTGTTGGTCCTTGTTAATACTCTAGGTCGGGGGTTTTCAACTTTTTTTGATCAGGGTAGAAGCAGGGAGTCCCCCAGTGACCAGTTGATGAGTGGGGGAGCCCGCGGGGGGCAGGGTGTCTGGCCTGTGGCAGCAAAACCAGACATGCTGCTGGCGAAACTGGAAGTGCCAGCAGCTTCTCTGTGCCACTGCCGTGTACCCCCTGGGGCCTTCCAAAGTACCTTCAGTTGATAACCCCTACTCTACGTGCTTATAAATCAGTGGATAATACTACAGGATATTTTAGGTTTCAAAGTTAGATGGATGGATCTGAAATTCCTTGTTTCCTCCTTTCTTTTCCTTGGGCACTATACTTGCTTTTTTCTGATCTTTTGGGACCTGCCTTATCTCCTCAAAGATAATAGTCAACAACTCTGCAGTAATCTGAGCCAATTCCTCGAGTCCTTTAGGATGAATCTCATCAGGCCTTGCTGATTTGAAAACATTCAGCTTTTCTAAGGAATTTTTAACCTGTTCTTTCTACTCCAGCCTGATTATCTTCCCCCTCCCCTTACTGCTAACTGTACTTATCTGACAGATGAACGGTTTTGTGTAGTCTGAGGGGGGGGAAACATTAAACATGTCAGCTTTCTCTGCCTTATTTATTATTAGTTTTCCTATCCCATTCAGTAGCTGACCTGTACTTTCTTTAGTCTTCCTTTTCTTTACAACTGGGGATCCGCATTTTCCATTTAACATGGAAGGTGTGGATTTTTTCTTTTAAAGGAGAAAATGCATATTTTCCCTTTCGAAGTGGGAAACCACAGATTTCCCCTTGCATGCTGGCACAGTTCTAGCCTGCAAGGAACTGCTTGGAGCTGGGGGGAGGAAGATTTGGAGGCAGGGGCTGCCGTGTGTGTGTGCACATGCACACACATGTCCAGCAGTACAGCCAGGCAGGATCGTGGTAAGTTTCCTCAACTGCTTGTAGGTAAATCGATGGAGGGAGGGCATAGGTGATGCATGGGGTGGCACAGTGGTGGGCACAACTCTGCACCACCCTGGCCACCCTACTCTTGCGAGGCATTGGGTCCAGCTTAGATTCAGCCCCATGCCCCACAGCACCGAGATTGAGGTGATGGCCATGGCTCGCATCGAGCCCACATGGTGAGGGAACAAACGAGCACACATTGCACCCCTGGCCTAGGGCTGGACGCCCTTGGGCAGCACCTCCTGTCCCAGCCAAGGCGGTGCCTGGGGCCAAGGTACCTGGGGTGCTGGAGGCCACCATGTGCCTAGGGCAAGGTAGACGCAGGGAGTCAGTACCAGCCACCCTTGTGGCTGAGGGTCTGGCTCCAGGTTCAGGCTGTCCACCCCTGGTTTTACTTATTGCCATGCGCATCCTACTGCGCCACAGGCCCTGGGGCACATGGCTGTCCTGCTGCTCACCGCCTCCCTGCCACCGGTCCAGACCGGGCTGTGGTTGCTGGTGGCTCTACTGGGGCTAGTGCTGGAGGTGGGGGCCGCAGGGCATGGGGAGGGGAGGGGAAGGGAGGGAGGAGTGGCATGGCTGGCCCACATGCTACTCTGCCCAGCCTGGCTCTACTGCTGTCAGCACAGTGCCACGCAGCCTTCACTGGGTCTTAATACCTGAGGCCTGGCTCAGTACTGCCCAGCCCAGGCAGCCAGCAGACAGGCCCCGACCTGCTCCCCCCATGTGAGGGGCTAAGTGGCTCAGCCCCCTCTATATGCCCTTGGGCCCCCAAGCATGGCCCCTACTCCACATCGGAGCCACGCCACTCAGGGGCCCTTGCCCTCTCCCCCACATTTCCCTCAGGGACCCCTACCATATATTTCCATCAAAGCCCCTTCACACACCCACCCTCAGGGGCTGCTGCTCCCCTCAGCAACCCCTGGCCCCCTCCACACACCACTCGTGGCCCCCTGCCCTCCTTCCCCTACACGCAAATACCCTACACTTCCTCTCAGGGCCCCGCCATGGCTCCTTGCCCTCCACCCTACACATCCCTCAGGGCCCCTGCCTCTCAAACATAGATGCAAGGAGTTAGCTCCCCTTCCACAACACACACCCAGAGAGTTTGCTCCCTCCTCCCCCCAACACACACACACACAGAGCTTTCCAAAAAGTGTCAAGAAAGGTGCACAACCCTCAGCTTTGTGGCATTTTTTCTGTCTAATGCAAAACCTTAACAATGACCTCAGGCATATATATCAAAGGATCATCTGCAGCTGGACTCATGTCCTCATGAGCAAAGGGCACGGGGAGTTCTTATTTTCCATGAGAAAAAAAACCCAAAATGAAACACCAAAATATACAGGCATTTAGAATTAATTTATTATAATGATTGAGGCACCGGTAAGCTTCCAAATTGCTTTATTTTTTTTTATTATATCAATAAAACATTGTGTTCAACTAATAGGCATGCATGCATATGTATGTATGTGTGTGTGCGTATGTGTATAATAGAGAGAGAGAGAGATGTTTCATTTTAATCACAGAAAAATGCAGATTTGGGTTTTTTTAATCAGAGTTTCTGATTTTTATCAGAGAATTTTGGAATGTTTTTAAAGCAGAGAAAACCAGCATCCCTGTTTATAATCTACTTACAGTATTTTTTTTTTGGTTGGGTTTTATGTCCCCTACTAGCTATATCCCAATTTGCACATTGGCCTTCCTGATTCCCCCCCCCCCCCCCCCCCACTCTCCCGCATACCTGTACTGTAATCTTATGCTCATGCTTCATAACATGAGCAAGCTTTCACTTTTTGTTAGAATCCTTTTTTCAGTTTCAAGTAATTGAAGAGTTGCTGTGTCACCAAGCCAATCTTTTGCTATGCTTCCTATGGTTTCTTTGCATTAGGATAGCTATTTTTCCTTTAATGTTGTCTCTTTAAGGAACAGTGCAGTCTCCTGGACTCTTTTTTTCTCTTAGGCTAGAAATAAATGTAGCTAAATGAAGTGGATCAGCTGTGCTGTAATGGGCCTCAGTACAGTTGCTCCACTTTATTGGACAAAACCACCAATTGTCCCACCAATTGATGCTGCGGGACAGTGGGCAACATGTTTTCCTGGGAATTCCAGTATAGGATCGGGCTCCTCAAGCCCTGGGAGCATCTGCTTGGCTTTCTGCACTTAATTGTATGCCCCTGAGATCTCCAGGGCATATCAGGGTAAGCAGGGGAGTTGGGGTTTCCCCGCCTACTGAGATGTGCCCCTGGGATCTCCTGTCACAACCATGAATTTGAGCATTTGTGATGCAAGAAAAGGTATGGATATCTATGTCCTTTAACTTTGTGTTGTATGGAAGTGAGGAAAGGCAGCATCCGTTTCTACCCTTAAACCAGAAAGACCATGTTTATAGAGGTTATTGAAACACTTTCTTTTTTGATTTTGAAAAAAGATATCATTTAAATTAGAAAAAATATTAACCAGGTCTACAGCTGATTTGAAAAAAAAAAAAAAAAAAAAGAAGAGGGGTAGTTCATAAAAAGTTGCATGAGTTGTGGAATTTTATTATTCCATGACCTCTAACAAGATCTTTTCAGGAAAAAAAAGTGTTGTTTGGGTTTTTTTTAATTTAAAAAAAATGTTTTACTTTTTCATTGCAATGAATGGAGCCTACCGTTTTCCATACCATAATTAAACCAAGCCATTATCATGCTGGCTCTTTGCCAGTCAGTTATCTTGCTGTGTTTGTTTTAGATCTTCATCCTCTTCCTTTCTTAGCCTTTCCAGAAGGAAAGGGTCTTTTAAAAATGTATACTTCAGGCCCCTTTCATAATTTTGCTTGATCCAGCAATAAATGGCTACCCAAGAAGCTGCTTTCAAAACTTATCAGTATAACTGCTGACTTTTTTCAGAGGATGATTGCACTGAACAATATGACATGTTGTCTTCATCATGAGAAGGTTGGCTCTCATCATAAAGAGAACAGAACAAATTGAAACCAGGCCTCCCCATATAAATCAGTGAAGTATTACCAGAAGGCAATCCCACACTATTATTGTTCATGGGTCTTGAGAGCTACAATTTAAAAAGAGAGAACTATACTTATGATAAAATTGAGTTCACATACTGATCCAGTAGCTCAATCATAAATCTTTTGCAAGATTTTTTTGAGTTTTATTGTCTTTCTGTCAAATTATTTCTGCTATTCAAGTGATCCTTAGCTGTCATTTAATCTCTGTTTGAACTTGGTAGCAAAATAAAGGGTTTTTTTATTTTTCTGCATTGAAGATTTGAGATCTATTTAAAGTCTGTCCCACTTTTAGGAGCTTTTTATGGTACAGTACAGGTTTCAAGTTATGTATATCACTGTTTTTGCACCTTCCCTTCTGCTCTCCCTCTTCACCCAAGTGTTATTGGAGGGGTAATTAGAGCTTGTACACCTAGAGAGGCAACAACAAATGATCACCTTTGGTCAGCTTTCTTGAGATTTCCAAAACAGCTACTAAGAGTTCTTTTTTGCAATGTTATACTTCTACGTTGCATAAGTTAAGTATAATTTTATATGGGCTCCTTATTAAGAGTGTGGTGTTTTTGTTTAAAAGAGACTTGTTTAAAAATCTAGACCAGTGGTTCTCAACTTTTTTTGTACCAGGACCCATTTGTAAACATTGACCAGCCCTGGCCCAGTGCCCCTCGCAACCCACTTCCCTCTGCCCCCAGGCCCAAGTTTGTGGGGCAGCTGGTGGGTGTGTGGGTAGGGGAGGGGAGCAGAGGGGGCCCCAAGCAGCCCCTTGCAAGCTGGAACTCTGACAGCTTGGATTGGAAAAGCCACAGTTTCCCATGTTTTTCTCCTTTAAAGGAGAATCCATTCTTAAAGTTCGTTGATCCCTTTTTAAAGTTTGTTCGCAACCCTTTCATATAGCCTTGGAACCCACAGGTTGAGAAACGCTGGTCTGGACCCCAGCAGCATGCTGAGTCTGTCAGATCAGCACAATGTGTTAGCTTATTTCATGTTTCTCACCAGTTGTCCATATTTTACAGATTTCTTGAAGAGACCACTGGAAAATTACGTGAAAAAGTTAAAAGTTCCAGTTCATGTGATTCGAATGGAGCAGCGTTCTGGATTGATCAGAGCCAGATTAAAGGGGGCTGCTGTTTCCAAAGGCCAAGTTATTACCTTCTTAGATGCTCACTGTGAATGTACTGTAGGATGGCTTGAACCTCTCTTGGCACGGATTAAAGCTGACCGGTAACTATCAATTTATTTGTAAATGTTCTTTCTCTGTTTGGATTTTTCAGTGGTTAACAGATATCCTTAACAGATTAACAAGTGGGCATCCCGAGGCCAGTCTAAACGTAGGCCCACCCGCTTGTCTCTGGGCAAACCGCCTGCCTACCTCACCTGCCATGCCTTGATTATGATTAATAGATCTTAACAAGTCAGGAGGCTGCCCATTTACTTGCCCTGATGCCAAGGGCTGATGCACATGGCTCCATCCATCCCTGTCCCATGTCTCATGCCTCACACACGGACTCAATCTTGTTTGGCCTAGCATCTGGCCTGCTTGTTTGGCCTAAACCCTGGCCACTCAATCACTTGGGCTCCCATCCCTTTACTGTTCCTCAGGCTCCCAGCCGGGTTGCATTCAAGGCTCACAGCCCCCTATCAGTTCAGGGCTCTAAGCCTCCCCATAACTCTGGGCTCCAAGCCCCATCCCCTTTCAGGACTCCAAGCCCCATATGCCCCACACTGGGTTTATTAGTATCCCCAAACTTATCCCCTGCCCTACACTGGGCCTCAGCAATCCCTAATTCATTTGCCCCAGGAGCTTCTTGTATAGCTCTCTGAAGGCTCAGGACCCTACCTCCCTGGAGCGTCACTCCTGGCTCCTTTTTGCAGCCTCGGAGCTCGCAGTGAGTCTGAGCACTGCCCCAGGTCCCTTCATAGATTCATAGATGTTAGGGTCGGAAGGGACCTCAATAGATCATCGAGTCCGACCCCCTGCATAGGCCTGGGGCCCTGCTTCAGAACTCTCCATGAGTCTGGGCTATTGCTTTGTTCTTCAGGGTGTGTTCCCCTAGCCTTTCCCCCCACAGGGTCACCCACAAGGCAGCAGGGACTGAGGCTTTCTGGTGCCCCGTACTCGCCCTTCACTGGGGAGGCCCCAGGTGTGACATTTCCTGGAGACTGCCCCACCACTGGCAGTCCCACCACACCACCCAAACCCAGCAGGGTGTAGTTTTAGGTCATGCCCCAGGACCAGGAGCCACCAGCCGTCTGCATAGCTCCAAAGATGTTCCAGGAGCAGCAGCTCAGCCAGGTGCTGTTATCCCACCTATTAGCAGCAGACTGCCACTGGCTTTACTGTTCAGAGCTCCTGTTCTTATAGGGCACAGCTGGGCCCTGTTCCCAATCAGGCAGTTGTGCCCAATTGAGATTGCAGCCAGCTGCAGGCTGCCTTGCTGCTGCTCAGGTCCCTGCAAGTAACAGAGCACACCCTGTACTCTGTTACACAGACCTATTTAGCTTATTAGTTTAGCCAAACATAAAATCTAAGAAAAATATGGCTTGGGAGGGAACCTCAGGAGATCACCTAGTCCCAGTTCTGCTGAAGGTAGGGTCATTCTTGTCTAAATCAGGAGTGAGCAACCTTTTTTCAACAGCAGGCCTAATTTAACTCATCTCAGTCCTAAGAATGCTGCTGCTTTCGCTGCTCCCAATTTCCCATGTCTCCACATCCCGCCATTGTCTTCTCCTCTGTCAAATGCTGCTGTGTGTGGCTGATCTATATTTTTTTTTCTCTCTCTCTCTCTCCCCTTCCCCTCCCCCCCCACCTTCTCTTCATCCCCCACTCCTCCTTCTGTCTAGTATGTCCATGCAGGTACATGTCCCTCCTGCTTCTGCTGTATACTGATAGGCTAGATAAAATCTTGGTAAGCTAGATATGCTCTCTTCATGGGTTGTCTCTAGCCCATGGGACATAGGTTGTCAGCCCCTGATCTCTTGAACAAACATCTTGAACAAATGTTTATCTAACCTGCACTTAAACTTTCAAAGACCAAGATTCCACAGTCTATCTAGATAATCTGTGCCAGTGATTAACTACTCTCAGAGTTAAAGTTCTTTATATCCAACCTAAATTTCCCTTCTTACAATTTAAGAACCTTACTTTTTGTCCTTTTCCCTGTGGCTGCAGAATATGATTGGGTACTTTGGAGTAGTGGATTAATATTATAATTTCCCAACATATCAGGTTGCAATGGAGGAAATAAGGAAGTTGTAACACAAGTAGAAAACGAACAAGATTAAGTACCTGTGAATGAAGTGTTTGGTCTCAGCCAGGCACAAATCTGGGCCTGAGTGTTTAACTCATTATCATGAGATTCACTGTACAACAGTAAACAGCTACCATATTTACTCAAATGTATGACATCCCTCCCCCAATAATTATATTCTGTATATATGGACAATGTATACATTTGTTACAGTTTTCCAGATGTAGAATTTAATTATTGGAGTGTTGCCTTGAATTCATGGGTCCCATGACTACAGCAGAGAAAATAGTAGCTAGTGTGGATGGGGAGGGGTCAGGTGCCCTCCTTGCCCTCTGTCCTATCAACTTCTTCCCCGTGCAGCCTTCCTGTCCCCTATTACTGTCAGACCCTGCTCAGGCTCTGTCCCTTCCCAAGCACAATGTAGAAGTGAGCTACATGTGACAGGTAAAGCATCTCACTAGCCTGATTTGCTTTCTTGAGCAGAAAGAGTGGGAATTGAAGTACTGGGATGGAGAAAGGTATGAGAACTTTTGGAAGAAATATGCAGAGAAATGAGAGGAAGGAATTAAGAGGGATAAAGTTAATAGCAGGGGAAAAGTCGAGAGAAAGTGTGATTATAGTTTGAGTGTACGCAGATTTACTAGAAGCAGAAGACATAGAAAGATGGATGGAAAAGTACGACCAAAGGGCCATGTCAGTAGAGGAAGAAAGGGACAAATATGGTATTTGGACAAGGTCTTGGAGGGCGCAGGTAGTGTTACAAGCAGATGAGTAGAGGTCAGGTGGGGTGCTGCACCTCCTGGCAGTGATCCAGGTCAGGATACATGGGTTTTATAATGTACCATGGGCAACCAAAAGAGTGCAGCAAATGCAGAAAGGTGCAGCACCTGTTCACACACTACCCCCTCAGTGTGCTATGGATGTGAGGAGATGGGGCACAGAGCAGCAGAGTGCTAGGAATCCCTAAAATGCACTGTTTGTAAGGGAGAAGGGCACTTGTATCATAGATGCCCCAAAGCCTTTTCAAGTATAGTCAGACCCCCTGAGGAACAGAAAAGCCCAAAGGAAGAGAGGAGGGCTTGGACACTGAAGTAGAAATGGTAGAAGAAACCCCACAGGAGGATGGAACAAAGGATGGGGGGGTAAAATTTCTGTGATTGAAGTAGCTCAGGAGGAGATAGGAGACAAATGAAAGAGAAAGCAGGAATAGCAAACAAAAGGACATGGAGGCCTGGGATGGGGAAGAAAGAAGACACCCCACACACAACAGAAGTGGAGATGGAGCAAGAGAGAGAATTGGAGAGAGGCTGGGGAACGGAAGAAAATGCAGGGGCTGAAGACCAGGAAAAAGAAAGCTGATGAGGGAAGTGAGTTGGAGGAAGAGAGAGAGCAGTTTCATGCTACTTATACCTCAGGGCTCCAGCCCGGAGTGGAAACAAGGAAGTGGGAAGCAGTGGGGAGGTAGGAACATGCAAGCCTTCCTAAATGTGAAAGTGATCCAGCAGCTTGCAAAGGCTGCTGAGATGCAAGTGAAGGAGGGGGAGTCATCAACCATCCTAAGCAGTAGCGTAGACAAACCTTAAAGGGACAGGTGCACTCAGCTCAAAGCAAGCATGGCCAAACTTTAGAAGGACAGGTGCACTCATTTTAAAACAAGCATAAAATGGCATTGACAGTAGTTTCACTTAACATCAGGAGTATCTTAACAAGGAAAAGATGGAAACAAGAATGTGGTATACCAAGAGAGAGGGATTATAAGCACTCTGAGAAAAGATGGAGATGAGGACCATCTTGGTGGTCAGAGACAACTGAGAACAAAGCTGCAGGGATAGCAATGTTACTTAAGAACACAGAGCTGAGAACAAAGCAGATAGAAGAAGTCATCAGTGGCAGATGGCAACGAATGATACCATCAGTCAGGGGAACAGAATTAGAACATTTCAATGTATATGCATCGCCAGAGAGGGAGGGAAGGAATTCACTGCTTAGAAAGCTAACTGTTTACATGGTCAGGGGGCAACTGTGCATAAGTGGGAGATTTCAGTTGCATATTGAACAGGGGACAATATACAACAGGGGAAGGGGCAATAGAACAGGGGGTGGAGGAAACAGAGCTTTAGACAGCTCATCTGGGCTGTTAACAAATATAATAAAAGAAGAGTCGCTAAGAGATGTGTGGGCAGGGGAGAAAGTTTTCAGTAGAATAGCCCCCAGTGGAAAGAAACAATCAAGAATTGACTTTGTGCTCTTATCAAAAGAAATAAGGATAAGGAAGAAAGAAGCCATACATGTGGCTTTTAGTGGTCTCCAGATGTTGAAGGTAGAAATGAGTCTTGGTAAGAGTCCCATGGGAAGGAAGGGCCTGTGGAAGTTAAACGTACAGCTGTTACAAGGTGAAGAGAAATGTCAAGAGTACATGAGGGTTATAAGGGGTGGTGAACATTTGATGAAATATTTTGGGAGTACCATAGGGTAGATGATGGCAAAGAGGAGGGCAGAATACTTTTTCAGGAAGGAAGGCTGAAAATGCCTGGGGAAAAGAGCAAAAGAGATAAGAAAGCTGCAAAGAAAGATACAGGAGCTGCTAAAGGAAGCTGCTAAAGGAAGACCGGTACGAGAAGAGCTTAAAGAAACAAAGGCAAGAGTTAGAAACCTGGTTTAAAGGAAAGATGAGCGAAAAAATGTTCTTAGCGCGCGCACCCTGGGTTGGGGAGAACAAAGTCCTATACTTTTTGGCCAGAGCGAAGGCGGCAAAAGGAGAGCTTAAAGCAGTGTCAGAAGGTAGTGGTACCCTGGTGGAAAAGCAAGCAATGGTGTTGGAGGCGATGAAAAGATTTTATGAAGAACTATGCCAGAAGAAGGAAACAGACAGGAAGAAGATGAAGGATTTCTTGGAAGAGATTGAAACAAAAGTAGAGGAGAAGGAAACAAAGAAGATGGAAAAAATAGATGAGCTTAAAGGAAGTGGAGGAG